GAGGGAGAAATGAAAAATTAGGTAGGATATTCACTTTTAAAAAAAATTAAAGCATTTAAATTAAAAAATTTTAAAACATGGTCGCAGTCAACTCCATAGAACCTGACAACAATCACATCATTACAGGTTAAGCTCCCATTTATGGGGATGCTAAGCTCCAGTTACGCGGAGATGTACCTCATGTACCCAGCAGCACAATTGTTTTGTATACTAGAGATCTCACGAGGCAAAAAATCAATAAATAAAGATGAACAAATTAAGGCTTAGAGTAGAGCATACTTACTATTATGTGCCAAAAATTATGCTGAGGCCTCTGCGCTTAAAAAACCAACAACCACCCTGCTGTACTGGCAGAGAACATAAAGATTATAGCCTGGAATCCTGGCGGGACATCTCTCCTCTGGCCAAAAGGATCACAAGGGAACAGAATCAACAGCTTCTAGTGACATTTGACATAGATGGACACACAACATACACACACCCCCACACACACACATCTTACTGGCTATGTTTCTGTAGAAAACCCTGGAATAGGGCTTTTTACAATCCATCACCTTTTTAATAAAAAAACCAAGACAGAAAAACGAATGCTCTCATATTTCAAAGCATAAATTATTCTGATCAAAGCATTATCTAGTTAGGTGAGGTGTGATGGGCTACAGAAAAAATATGAAAGGAGAGACTAGCTGTCTATGAAATAAAAAAGAAAACTGAGTATGGACAAGCCAGGCTCCTCTGCAGGTCAGACTGGAGTTCAAGGGCACAGACTTGCATGACATTGGACTACCAGTGTGTAGCTTTCTCAAGCAACGTGTGAGTTCTCGGTCATCAATGCCAAGACTTACTCTTTGAGCCTCATATGACCTACATACTTCGTTATCTCATTTGAAGAATATTCGTCTTCCCGTGAAAAGAACCACAGTGAGTAGCGTGTAAGATTATACTTGTGTATGTATACAAATACATGCTGTTAGGGACCTCTCCAAAGTGCTGAAGAGCAGTGGTGTCTCTCTGGAGACTAAGGTGCGCCTGATACAGGCCATGGTCTTCGCAATCACCTGTTATGCATCAGAGTTGGACAATGACCAAGGAGGATAGAAGGAGAATTGATGCCTTTGAGCTGTGGTGCTGGAGAAGAGTATTGAGAATACCATGGACTGCTAGGAAAACAAACAGATTTGTCCTGGAGAGGGTTAAACCGGGTGGCTCCTTGGAGGCAAGGATTCTGAGGCTCCGTCTAACTTACTTTGGACATGTTGTGAGGAGAGATCGGTCCTTAGAGAGGGACATCATGCTTGGGAGGGTGGAGGGACGGCGCAGGAGAGGAAGGCCCTCTATGAGGTGGATTGATTCAGTGACTGGGATAATTGGGATGGGAGTGTCAGAGACAGTGCGATTGGCACAGGACAGAGCGGAGTTTAGGACTGCTGTACATAGGGTCGCTATGAGTCGCAGGCGACTCGACGGCACATAACAACAACAACATGTATACAAAAAATTTAAATAAAAGTATTTGAGGGGCACTAAAAAAGAAAAGCAGCATTATCTCGTTTCAGCTACTGATGGTTTATTGTGCGCCCCGAGTTGGAGCCGACCCCTAGCTGACCCTCTCTCCCGCGGGCTTTCCTGGGAGAAACTGCCCAGCTTTGCTTAGGGAGCAGCTGGTGGATGTGTCCCATGAGCCTTTGGGAGCGCAGCACTCCCTGCTCTGGTGGTTTAGGGAGAAGGAATTGTGCTGCCAACTCAAAAGCGTGTGGTTCAAATCCGCCAGCTGCTCATGGAGAAAAAAAGATGGGCGACCTCCTCCTGGGCAACTTACTGCCTCGGAAAACTTGCTGCAGGGTCAGCTGTAGCCCAGTTCCGACTGGACGGTGCATGACAACAATTACAGCCTGGCGCGGATGCACATACCCGCCTAAATAATTTCCCTCTCCTTCTCCTTCTTCCTGCTTTGGAAGGAAGCTTCCGGGAGGAAAGGTAGCGGCCCGCTCACACCCCCACTGGACCGAGGACAAACACGAATCTCTGTGGATCACCACCCTCGTCTCCCTCATCCTCACACCCTCCTCCTTCCAGGGCACCGTGTGGGGCACATTTTAGAGTACCCCGCTTGGCATTCGGATGAGAGAATTATGCCACAACGAAAGCACACCACTCAGTGGCTGCACATGGCTTCACTAGCCGTCCAGCCTGCTACCCAGGAGTGGACGACCTCAGCCGGACGCCCAGCTCCACGCAGGCCAGTCCTCACCGGGGACGCTGGCGGTCAGACGCCCGGGAAGAAGCAGATCAAAGTCTCCTTTGCTGGGACTATCTGTGCAGCTCAGAGCACGGCCGAGTCACACAATCCAGCTGCACAATCAGAAATGGCTCAGACAACTGAAAAGAACAAGCCTCTCTGCTCCCAGGACCCAGCTCTGTAAACCACCGGAGACTGCCGGTCCCGGGGAGGCAGGATGCAAAGATGCTTCATCTGCGTCCAAGTGCCCCGCCCTGACTTTCAGCACTTCCCAACCTCTGCAGGAAGCCGCCACGGCCTGCTAAGCAGTCATCCTGACTAGCTACTAGCTTCTTCATGTCTGCAAATAAAACTTGAGTGGACAGACACAGAAGCCACAGCAATGGGCTCCAGGGTGGGGAGACCGGGGACAGCACAGGGTAGGGGGGTTTCCTTTGCTGTACAAAGGGGAACCAACACGGTAGCCTGTAACCACAATCTCCCCTTTGCCAACCACGAGGGCATCAGTCTCAGGAGGAAGTCAAGCAGAATGCCCTTGACATGGGAGCATAGGGAGATGTTGACTTGTTTATTGTGGACATGTCACCAGGTAAGACCAACAGTTTAAAAAATCCACATTTAGAAACAATTCCCTAGATCTGAAAGGACCTGCTCTTAGAGCAAAGATATCACCTGAAGGACTAAGGTGCACCACAGTATTTTCAAACAACTCATCTCCACGTGAAAGCTGGACAATGGAATAAAGAAGTCCAAAGAAGTGATGCTTGGTACATGTGGTTATCACTGCTGACCACGAGTCCACCCTCCCACCAGCTGGACCGCTGTGGAACAGAGACCATGTCCACATCCACCTTCAGCTGGTTGTACTCTGGTGGCTGGTGTGCTGAGAGCTGGGCCCACCTCTATACAAAGGCCAGCAGGGTCACCCGTGGAGGACAGGTCTCAGCAGAGCGTCCAGACTAAGAGGAGGAAGGAAGACCTGGCCATTTCTTCTGAAAATTGTCATTGTTATTGTTGTTAAGTGCTACTGAGTCTACAACTCCTAGCAACGCTGTGAAGAACAGATCTGAAGCTCACCCTACCCCGTCCCGTTCTCACAATCTCCTCCAGGTTCAAGTTCACTGTGACAGCCTCAGCATTGATCCATCTTGCTGAGGGTCCCTCTACTTGCCCATGATGTCTTTTTCCAAAGACTAAGCCCTCCAGACAACATGCCCAAAGTATGTGAGATGAAGCGTCACCATCCTTGCCTCTAAGAAACACTCTGGTTGCACTTTCTCCAAGATAAACTTAGTTCTTTTTTTGGCATCCATGAAATAATCAGTACTCTTCTCCAACACTACAATTCAAAGGCACCAATTCTACTGTCATCCTTATTCACTGTCCAACTTTCCGATATATAGGAAGCAATTGAAAATGCCATGGTTTGGTCAGACACACCTTAGTCTTTAGAGTGACTTCCTTGCTCTTTAACACATTAAAGAGATCCAAAAACCAGACAGGAAAAGTCCTGTGGTGCACAAGAGTCTCTACCCAGGATAGCACTGAAAGGTGAGAGCCTTGGTTTGAAAATACACAAGATACACAGTGGTCTCAACAATGAAGTTGAGAAGACCAATGAAAATAAGGATGATACCGGGTGAGCAGTGCTTTGTTCTACTGTAAACGGGGTCGCCATGAATTAGAGTTGACTCAACTGCTCCCAATAACAACTGAAAACATCTCTTCTCCATCTCTGTTCCTTACAGCCAACAAACACTGAGCAGGCATTTAATTGTGTCCACTGGAGCCCAGTGAATGAGAGAGCCCGCTGTTGGCTCTCACTCCCCCACAGAAAAAGCACATCTTTGAAAGCACAATGGAAAACAACTATGAGATACCGTCTCACCCCAGTCAGAATAGCAAAATTTAACAGAACAGCAAACAACAAATGCTGGCAAGGTTGTGGAGAAACTGGAACCCTTATTCACTATTGGTGGAAGTGTAAAATCGTGCGGCAGTATGGCACTTTCTCAAAGAGTTGCAAATAGAAATACCATTTGACCCAGCAATTCCACTCCTGGGAATATACCCCAAAGAGACCATAATTGCCACCCAAGCAGATATATGCACACTAATGTTTATCACGGCTTTGTTCACAATAGCAAGGAGTTGGAAATAACCTAAGTGCCCATCAACAAATGAATGGATAGAGCAGCTGTAGTATATTCCCACAATGGAATACTACGCTGCATTGGAAAATAAGGAACTCATGAAATATTATTCAAAATGGGTGACCCTGGAGGACATTGTGCTGAGTGAAGTGTTTCAGTCACAAAAGGACAAATATTGCATAGTGCCACTGTTGTAAAACAGGACTGACATTGGGGTTAGGGGGGAGACTGAGAAAGATGGGATAAATTATGTATACTGCATTGAAACAGATGAGAGAGAGAACTGTTTAAAAGGGATATGTGATTAGGTATTATTGTCATGACAGGAGTCCAGAACAAAGGCTGCATGGGGGAGTGGACTTGGGAGGGGGAGGGATTGTATAACAGTGAAAGAATTTTTCTTGTACTTTTCAAAGAAAAGAATGAACTGGAGGGAAGGGGTGAGCAGGGGAAAAAGTACAACAATGAATGAATAGAAATCCAAAATCTGTAAATTTTCATTAAAATTAATAAAAAAATAGTGTTCAACTCAATGGCACTTAACAATAAACACAACATTATCTAGTTAAAAAAAAAAAGGAAAGCACAATGGGAATTAGAACTCTTACTCTTCCAAGGTTTGCAGCATGTTCTCGGGTTCATCAGAAGACAGGATGTCCACGATCTGGTCATTGAGAGCAAGATACTCTTCGGTGTTATCAGCCAAGACGAACTGGGAGTGTTCCAGCTTACTCTCATGGCGCTGCACCTTCGGGAGAATTCCAGAAACAGCAAGTTAGCAAACTGTCGAGCGTCTACATGGAGACCCTCCATTTCCAAGTCTGAGCCTATGTCTAGAAGCCACGCTGCACGCTGAGTTTTCAAAAGCGCCCTTTCTTTTAACAGTCATGACGATAACCTGGTCACCCACCCTCAGGACGACATTCCTTTTCTCTGAGGGCTAGCAGGTGTAGGACATTCGAATTGTTCCCAAATGTTCCCTTTAGTACAGTCAAGCAGGTGTAAGATGTGCTGGCTTGGTGACCAAAGTGCCTTGGTGACCAGATCTTTCCAACAAACCCCCAGAAACAGACACAACCGAAGGTGCAGTTGTACTAATGGGTTACCAGGAAACCTGTATTCTTGCTGTCCTTGGACAACCTGGTGAAAAACTGCTTCGCTAAGGAACCCTGGTGGCATTGTGGTTAAGCCTATGTGGCTGTTAACCAAAAAGTCTGTGGTTCAAACCTCCCAGCCACTCCATGGGAGAAAAACGAGGCAAAATATTTAGTCTTGGAAGTCAGCCCTGGGCAGGTCTGCCCGTCACTCAGGGTCATTCTGACCAAAACTGACCTGATGGCAATGGGCTGGGTTGGACTTTGGTCCTTTTGCCAAGTATTTCTCTGTGTGCTGTGTATACATACCATCATTACACTGTCCAACAAGAAAAGTGCTACTAGCGTTATTCACCATCGCAAGAACACGGAAACAGCCCAAATGTCCAACCACAATCAAATAGATTGAGAAACTGTGGTACAGTTACATGATGGAATATTACACAGCACTCAAGAGCAACAATTTTGAAAAATACTACATAACTTGGGAGAGGCTGGAGAGCATTATGCTGAGTGAACTAACTCAGTCTCATAAGGACAAATTCTGCATAAGACCATTACTGGAAAACAGAAGGATAACTAATAAAATATGTACAGGAATTCAAGGGGGGGTGTAGGGGTGAGGATGAGTAGGAGTGAAACCACAGGGCTGCAGTTTGGTGGGGGGAAGGAGAGAAGGGGGAGTAAATAGGAAGAATCTAGGTGAAAAGACAGGGTAATAACGGGCAAGGTCCAATGGTGATTGATTTTATAAAACAATGTATGAGAATGATTGTATGAAACACAATGTGAATGAAGAACAGTGTGAAACACAATGTATATCAACTTTGTAAACAAACCAATTTATAAAAATAATGTAAGAGAGAGAGATTGCCCCCGCTTTACAGTAAGGGAACTGAGATTCAGAAATGAGAAATAACATCACGGAAGGCCACATACAGAAACCCTAGTGGCACCATAGTTAAACACCTGGCTGTTCACTGAAAGGTCAGCAGTTCGAATTCACCCAGTGGCTCTGCAGGAGACAGATCTAGCTACCTGCCCCCGGAGAGATGGCCATCTAGACAGCCCCACCGGGCAGCACCCCTCCAACAACCCCACAGTGTCTGACACCAAGACCACAGAGCTCACAGACACAGGGTGGTATTTGATCCCCTGTCGCCCTCATTCTGAAAGCTATCATCATTTGTTCCACGCGGCGTGATGCCTCTACAGAGGCCACCACGCTGGCGAGGACTCAAGAAAACTATGAAAAGAGAGTTCATTTGGGGATGGAATGAAAAATACTGCAAGGGTCATCAGACCTTAAATCAAATTCACCCGTGGCTCGCCTCTGCGGCTGGAACAGCCAGCCTTTAATCTCCAGGAAATAAATCCTCCTCCTCCATCAAAGAAGCCTGGAGCCTTTTGTTCTTTTCTGATTGATAACAGCTTGGGGAAAGTCAGGGGGATGATGGATTAGATGGTCATTTTTCTTCTCCTCACTTTCGCCTGCCAAGGAGGTCGTGGGCTCAATTCACGTTAGAATGGTGGCCTCGTCCACAAGGAAGCGGAAACAGGATCAGTTCAAGGCTGAGGGAGACCTCCAGTGCTCCAGAGAGAGGGGACCCCCGCCCCCCAGGAAAACACCACACACACACACACACACACACACACACACACACACACACACACAGAGAGAGAGAGAGAGAGAGAGAGAGAGAGAGAGAGTAATCCACATCCCAGGCTAAAACTTGACCACTTAAGGAAGCCTTTAACCCTACAGGTTTCAGTAACCTCAACATAAAATGAGGAAGAAAGGTGGCAGGTGGGCCGTTGGAGGTGCTGGACTTGAAGACATCAGGTCACAGAACCCCAAACTCCAAGGACTGAAGCACACAGCAGCCTGCCAAGGTTGCTCCCTGCCAGTTGTGACTTCCAGCAGCTTCCAGAACTCATCTCACTCTGTTCACTGTGCCTTCCCTCATCTGCTCCTCTGGAAACGGTGTGAGTGCTGAGAACTCGTCTCCTAACTCTGGAGCAGGAGGAGAGAGGCTCAAAGTCCACCTCAGTCCAGGGCTGACTGTTATCAGACAGAGGTACAATTTCCTCTCCAACTTTTTGCCACTTCTGGCACCAGCAGTCTCTCCTACAACACTCTGAACATCCTTGCTGCGCGGAATAATTTGTTGCAAGGGCCACACAGATCATACTCGGTAATGGGATCTTGGGGGTTTAGGGAAATGACTGTTGTTTGCTTGAGATCAGGAAGCAGGTAGTCAAAGTGTCCCTTCTTCTGTGCAGGACAGTCTCTCAGCTCTTCTGACCATGCAGGGGTGCTCGTAGCCCCTCACACAGGCCTTCTCTCATGGTTGGTGAACCCTGAGCTCACTCAGCCCTGGTCTCTGCCCTACTTGGACCAGGTTACAAAGCTCATGGGAGTGCCCTGGGAGACCTCACTCCCCCAGGAAGCCTCCTACCCATGGCCCTCCATTCTCTCACTCCTAGGTCAGCGTGCCCACCATGGTTACTTTGCTCTGGTAGGCCAGGGAACCTGGTTCTGCTGCCACTCTCTGCCCCATTTCTTGTCATCTCACACTGTCTCCAGTGTTACAACTCATTCTCACTCCTGCTCTCTCCTGGGTCTAAGAGGTTCTCAGCACAGGGGCCCTGGGTCTTGGTGATCATTGAGGATCCCTCTCTAATCCAAGATTGGCTCTCTTTTAAACCTAGCAGGATAGTAAAGCTAATCCATTAGATGCAATACATCTTATTTGTATGAACCCTACCCCCATGGGGGTCACGACACCTTATTTGCATTCTTTACAAGTTACCCAAACCCTTTGTGGTTCTTAGGTGTCATCAGTATGATTCATAGAGTCCCCATGAACCTGTCCTATCAGGTGTCTTCCTCACTGTCTCTAACACACACTTGAGCCCACTGTTGCAGTCACTGCATCAGTCCATCTTGTTGAGGGTCTTCCTCTCCTTCACTGACCCTCCACCTTTCCAAGCATCATGTCCCTCTCCAAGGACTGGCCTCTCCTAGCAACATGTCCAAAGTATGTGAGACAGAGCTTCACCATCCTAGGTTCCTTCACCATCCTTGGAAGCACTCTGGCTGCACTTTCTCACATCTGTTTGTTTTTGGTGGGCCACAAATGCCTTCTTTTCACTGTCTCATCCACTTATTTTGCAAAGTACACAAGATCATTCATGGCTAAAATGACCATAGGAAGCATTTTACTGCACCAGACCCACCATTCATTGGTTGGCCAAGAGTACATCTGTTTCTTCTTATAATTATTGAGTATCTTCTATTTATAACTACTGAGACTTTTAAAAAAGTGTTGTTGTGTGTTGTTTAGGAACTATACAAGTCAGACTCCAACAGACACTCCTGGTTTCCTGCTCATGTCCCATTACCCATACCTTTTAGTACCCGCCAGCCCAAGATCCACCATCCAATACTTAACTTTTTTTTCCCTCGAAGCCTTTCTCTGACCTTCAGGGCTCATGTCAGGGACATAAAGTCGCCCTGCCCTCTCACCCCCACATGGCTCAGGGGAAGTCTTCACTCAGTGTGCACTGGCCCCTGGTGGACAGATACCACAGTGCCCTGGCCCTCAGGCCATGGTATCACAAGGGCTGGTGTCACCAGGGCAGTGATTCACATCCACCCCTCCCTGACACCCCTCCCTGACACCCCTCCTCTCTTTTGTCCCCTCTCAGCAATGGCTAACATGGGGACCCTCTTTTGTCCTATAGTGGACACCAGGGCCCACCCAGGGGCATCTCGACTGGTGGGTGATGAGAGGTGTGAGGATGGTGGCGAATAACAGGTGACACTAACTCTACTGACATCCTTGCCTTGGCAGCCCCTCCCCCTGCCATGCCAGACTTACCTCCATCACCACCCAGGGTCAATTTGAGCCACTCCCTAATGTCACCACTGCCTCCAGGTGCCCCTGTGTGATCAAGCCCCAGGTGCCCAGTGTAACCTCATGATGTGTGTTGTTTACCAGCGAGTTGGAACTGGCCACGGCTGACCCTCTAGTGGGTTTTCAGGCTGTAAATCACACAGGAGGAGAGTGCCCACCTTTCTCCTGCAGAGCAACTGGTGGACTTGAACCGTGTGCCTTTGGGTTGGCAGCACAGCTCCTTCCCACTAGGCCACCAGAGCTCCCTCATGATGAGCCGCCTTTTTTTGCCTGCTTCCTCTGCCCTGACTCTTTTCCCCACGCCCACTGTTACTTCCTGGGATGCTTCTCATGGAGATTAGTTAAATTTGGACATTTGTCTAAGCCATCTCCTTCAGGAGAGCCCAAACTCAGACAGGAACGCAGACCTTGAGAGGCCCTCAGCCAGGTTACAAAGGCCGGCAAGAACAGATCTAATGTGGGAACCCAGAACTCGGGTGCTCACCTGACCAGGGGGGCCCCAATGGAGTCCTACGGGACAGGTGAGGATGCCCGTCAGTGCAGGTGGAGAAAGGGCTGACAGGTACACAGGCATGAGCACGAAGAGCTGGGTGAGCTCAGAGAATGGACGGCGAGTCCTCCCAAATGGCGGGAGGTGGGAACAGAAGGGCCAGTAGCCGGGTGGTCAGAGGCAGTCCCCAGGAAAGTGGGAGGGGTGCAAAGCCAAGCCAAACATCTGGATTTTTCATCCTGAGTATGAAAGCACATCTTGGAGAGCTTTCCAGAAAGAATGCGAAGTTAGGGGACAGCTCGGAGGATAGCACACAGAGCTCTGGTGGCTGAGCGGTGACGCCAACCCAACGATGATGCCCCAGTGGTGGTCCAGACACACCAGCAGTTCTACGGGAGAGAGACGGGCACTGCTCCATGTGACAGACGGTCACTGAAGCTGGCTTCAACTCAACGGCAATGAGTCTGAGGGTTTGGGTTCGGGTACTTTTTGGTAAAAATAAGAATCAGCACAAAGCTCATTCCCACAAGAGGGAGTCAAATCAAATCCCACTTTCCCACTTTGCCATTTCTGACCCCAGCGGCCCACCCACCACTCCCACTGCCTCTCTCTTTGTATCTGTCTCAATGGGCATATCTCTCCCCCTCTCTCTCTGTCTGTTTCTCTCTCTGTCTTTCTCTCTCTCTCTCTCTCTTTCTATCTCTATCTCTGTATGTTTCTCTCTTCTCTCTCTGTCTCTGTCTCTCTCTGTCCCTCTCTGTCTCTCTTTGTCTCTGTTTATCTGTCTCTCTCTTTGTCTCTGTATCTCTCTCTGTCTCTGTCTCTCTTCTCTCTCTTTTCTCTCTGTCTCTCTCTCTTCTCTCTCTCTCTGTGTCTCTGTCCCTCTATCTGTCTCTCTCTGTCTCTGTCTCTCTGTCTGGCTCTGTGTCTTTCTATCTCTATCTCTCTGTGTCTCTCTTCTCTCTGTGTGTCTCTCTCTGCCTCTCTCTTTATCTCTGTCTCTCTTCTCTCTGTGTGTGTGTGTGTCTGTCTCCCCCTCTCTCTCTGTGTCTGTCTCTGTCTATCACTGTCTCTGTCTCTATTTCTGTCTCTGTCTCTCTCTGTGTGTCTCTCTCTGTCTGTCTCTCTGTGTCTCCCTCTCTCTCTCTCTCTCTCTGTCTCTCTGTCTCCCCACCCCCCACAGCAATCACAGACTTTATAAATTAAACAGAACACCGTCATCCTTGCCTTCATTAATTTGCTGCAACGACTCACAGAACTCAAGGCAGATGTTGTATTTACAACTTCTGGATTTTCTACAGTGCTGTGCATGCCGCTGTTTACTCTGCTGCTGGTGAACCGATACACGACAGAACAGAACTGCCCCCTAGCGTTTCCTAGGCTGTAATCTTTATGAAACCGGATTGCAAAGTCTTTTTCTCCTGAGAAGCCCTTGGTGGGCTCAAATCAGGGATCTCCCAGCTAGTGGTCAGTGGCTCAGCCAGCGCACCAGTCATTGTTGTGGTTGTTGTTGTGGTGGTTGTGGTGTGCCTTCAAACTGGAACTGACTCACAGCTGACCTTCCAGCGGTTTTTCAGAGGCTGTCAATCACACGGAAGGAAAAAGCCCATCTTTCTCCTGCAGAGCAGTTAGTGGATTTGAACCACCTGCCTTTGGGTTGACAGCACAACTATTTATCACTAGGCCACCAGGGCTTTCCTTTTCATTACAGTAAAAATACGTAAATCAGAATTCTCATAAGGAGGGGAGGAGTTACAGGGTGAGGTCTGGAAGGTTCTCAGCGCAGAGCTATCGGGTCTCGGGACGGGCGTCTCACCCTCCCTTCACCAGCCATATGAAGCTCTCAGTGTTCCAGGCTTCAGTTACCCAGTCCTGCATGGCAGGCCAGTTCACGCCTCATAAGGCTAGGGACATGGGCCACCCAGGTGAGTCTCCTCTGCTCTGGTCAGCCTCCAACCCCCAAACACCCCAACATCACCATCTAGATACCATCAGGTCGGTTCCCATTCACAGTGGTACATACACAATCATACAAAACAATGCCCCGCCCTGTACCATCCTGACGACGGTGACTGCGGGAGCCAGCGCCGCAGCCCCCATGGTGAGTCCACTCCCTGAGGGTCATCCTCTCCCCTGCTAACCATGACGGCTGCTCCAGGGGCTCGAGCCTCCTGACAGCATCGCCAAGGGCCACGAAACAAAATCTCACCGTCCTTAGTTCCACGGGGCACCTGGCGGCACTCCTTCACCACAATCTACTTGTCTCCTCAGTCCACAGTACACTCAACGTTGTTTATCGACACCACAACGACACCTTACACTGGGTCAAAGTAGGTCCCTTACCCCTCAGACCTGTGGCAGAGTGTGGCAGAAATACAACCCTGGCCACGCAGGTTGGTGCTCAAGGATTCGGGGACTCTACAGGACTCTCGCCCCTGGCTGAGACATCCCCTGGGGAGTTTCCAAAATATCTAATGATGGGGACCCGTTCCCGGAAGATAGATAACACCAGAGCATCTAAGGGTGGGGCCAGGACATGAGAAATTGCCCACTCTGCCTGAGGTGATCTGGAAGCAGACTGAGAACCAGGAACCACTGACCAGGAGAAACCTCAGCCTCTGCTCTGCACCACCACCATCCGAACAACCCACATCCACACAGACACTCACCTGCCGGCTCCTCAGCAAGTTTTCCTGGAAACACTGAGATCGAAGCATGAAGAACAGCAGGAGCCAGCTCAGGATGAGGGAGCCCACGAACGCAGCGAAAAACCCTGCTGCGTGGAGACCGTGGTCCGGCACGACCTACAGAGACGGGGAAGAGGTCGTTTGGCGGTGGTTTCATTTTACATGGATGGTAAAGAGACAGAGATTGTTAACCGCTTCGATTTGCTTGATTCCAACAGCCAGGAAATCAAAAGATGAATTGCACTGGGAAAATCTGTTGTCAGGGACCTCTCCAGAATACTGAAGAGCAACGATGTCAGTCTAGAGACTAAGGTGCGCCTGATCCAGGCCATGGTCTTCACAATTACTTGCTATGCATCAGAGAACTGGATACTGACTAGGAATGATGGAAGGAGAATTGATGCCTTTGAGTTGTGGTGCTGAAGAAGAGTATTGGATATACCCTGGATGGTGAGAACAAACAGGTTCATTCTGGAGAGGGTGAAGCCAGGCAAGGATTCTGAAGCTTCGTCTCCATACTTTGAACATGCTGCAAGGAGAGACTGATCCTTTGAGAGGGACGTCATGGTTGGGAAGGTGGAGAGACAGCTCAGGAGAGGAAGACCCTCGATGAGATGGGTTGATTCAGTGACTGGGGTAATGGGTGAAGGTGTGTCAGAGACGATAAGGTTGGCTCAGGATTGCTCAGAGCGGTTATACATGGGGTCGGTATGAGTTGCAAGCAACGGCACATACAACAGCACTCAGTTGGCCAAGAGTCCTCCCAGAACAAGGGCAGAGTTTACAGAGAGGCCCATGTGCACAGCAGCCCAGCTCCACCAGCCGCTGGCCCGACGCTCTCCAACCCCGAGCTTCCTCACCACACGGCGGCCACTCACCACGTTCCATTTTATGACTGGTTTAGCGGGTTTTTGGCTGTGATTTGAATTCAAGTTTACAAAGCAGATGAGTTTTCCACTCAACCATTCATACATGTCTTGTTTTATGTTATTACAATACCCACAATGTAAATGTTCCCACGTCCTGCTTGTTTTCATTTCCATTCATCTGTCTACACTACCCCTTCTGCCTTCTGAACTTTAACCATGGGCAAATGCTACTTTTTTGACCTCATATGGTTGGCTAGTCTAAGAAACGAGGGAGGACCAGTGGCCTAGTGGTCAGAAGCTGCACCATCACCGCCATCCCCAAAATCTCCAGCTGCTGTGGGGGAGGGGGAAGGAAGGGCAGTCCCCTCTCGGGTGATTAAACTGCCTCTGAAAACCCACGGGAGGGTCATGGGTCGGTTCTGGCTTGACAGTGCTCAACAACAGTTCCAAGGAATGAAGACATGCCCGGCGTCTCTGGTCATCTTACAGGCCCGTCTATGAGGACCTCCTCGGTGTCACTGGTCATCTTACAGGCCTGTCTATGAGGACCTCACTGGTCATCTTCCAGGCCTCCCTGATGTCTCTGGTCATCTTCCAGGCCTGTCTATGAGGACCTCCCCGGTGTCACTGGTCATCTTACAGGCCTGTTTGGCTGGAAGTTGAACCAGGAGCTGAGTTTTATCCCAGGTCTGAAGGATGATTAAGACTCACAATCTTGGGAGACCTACTGGTCGCCATCAGAAGAGCAAACCTTATCTTCTGTTTTCAAGCTTAGTTCTACACAGTCCCCTACTCCGCCCAGGACCTTCTGCTGTGATCTCTCTCACAGCGGTCAGTGTGGGAGCCGGTCACCATCCCATTCTTCTGGTCTCAGGGTCACGCAAGTTGAGGTTTTCATGGTCCATCAGTCCCCCGGACTGACCGTTCCAGTGTGTCTGTGATTTTTGCCCTTCGGCTTCGTTCTGGACATGGAGAAACCAGATTTTGTCGCTTACACGGCTCTGCGTACACTATGTGCGGTCAGGAGCGTAACCTTCTCCACCGCTCCATAGACTGCCTGTCTGTTTACACACAGTCTAATCCAAATATCACTGAACTAAAATGATGTATGCATACATATGCACAAATAAGACATGAAGATAATACTCCAGGATTGGTTTTAATATGATTATTTGATGAATTTTTTTATCCTACAGCTTATTTATCTAAGATCTCTGCAATGGGCATGCTGTATTGGTATGATCTGGAGATCCAACAGTAATTACAACAAATACATTGTTAAGATCAGCGAGGAGAATTGACACGGACATTCTCCGTCAAGGAAGGACCTGGTGGTCTCTGGCAACAACTAGCATGGTTAATTACCAGCCTCCCATTTCAGGATCAGCAACAACTCAGAGATACACTTCACCTTCCAGGGTGGCCTAGATATGGTATCAGAGCAGGACAAAGGATGTAAGAGGTGGCCACACTGGCTGGAAACAGAGAACACCAGAAGAGCATCTATTTGTCTTTTATTGACTGTGCAAAGGCATGTGACTGTGTGGTTCACAACAAACTATGGCTAACATTAAGAATGGGAATCCCAGAACATCCAATCATGCTCATACGAAACTTGATACCCGGACCAAGAAGCTGTTGTCCAAATAGAGTCAGGGGCATCCCTGGTTTAAAATCTAGAGAGCTGTGCACCATCACATCCTTTCTCCGTGTCTATTCATTCTGTCCTCTGAGCAAATCATCTGAGGAGCTGCACTCCATGAAGAAGAATGTGGCATCGGCCTCAGAGGAAGACTCTTCAACCTGTATTATGCAGACAACACAATTCCGCTTACTGAATGCACGGAGGACTTGAGGCATTTGCTGCAGAAGAGCCAAGAATAAAGCCTTCAATCTGGATTACATCCCAACATCATGAAGACAAAAATCCTCACCACTGGGCCCATAGGCAACATCACATTGGGTGGAGGGAAAACATCAAACGGTCAATGATTTCATCTTACTTGGATCCAGAAGCAATACCCTTGGTATGAGCAGTCAAGAAATCAAAAGACATATTCCATTGGGAAAGTCTCCAAATTTCTGAGGAGCAATGATATCAGTTTCAAGATGAAGGTGCACCTGATTCAGGCCACAGTCTTCTCAATCACCTGCTGTGCATCTGAGAGCTGGAGAATGAATAAGGGTGACAGAAGAATTGATGCCTTTGAGTTGTGATGTTGGAGAAGAGCGCTGATGTTCATGGACTGCCATGGACAGGTATGTCTTAGAAAGTTCAGTCTCAATATTCCTTACAGGCAAGGATGGTGATGTTTCCTCTCACATGTGTTGCGCATATTGATAGGACGGGCTATTTCTTTGAAAGGGAGATGATGCGGGGAATCGTGGAGGGGTCAGCGAAAGACAGGAAGACCCTCAACCATAGGGACTGACACAGTGACTGCAGCGCATGTTGGAGTGTGTCAAGGATGGTGTGGACGGCACAGGACTGGACAGTGTTCACATCTGCCCTTCCCAGGATTGCTGTGAGGTATACCTGACTCAACAGCACCTAACAACAACAATTTGCTCCAGAATCCCTGAAAACAACATGTTTGCCTGTAAACCAAAGAAGAGAGGTCGAGTCCACCCAGCAGCATTTTAGAAGACCTCAAGGTCTACTTCCAAAGTCAACCACTGAGATCCCTGTGGGGCACAGTTCTCCCCTGATACATAGGGGGATCTGTCCACCCAGTTTGATAGCTGCTTCTAACCAATCCTATTTCCACCTCAATTTCCTTCTAGATGTTGCTCTTATATCTCAAACTATGTCAACATCCACTTCCAGGAAACACAACTTGTGACCACAGGCTTAATCCAAGATATCTGCCCTACCTGCTGCTGCTGCTGTTGTTGTTGTTGTTAGATGAAATCAAGTCAGGTCCAACTCATAGCAACCCTCTGTCAACAGGACAAAACCCAGCCTTCTCCTGAACCAGCCACAATCACTGCTGTTTGAGCCCACTGTTGGTCACTGTTTGAGGTCATCTCCTTGCATTTCTTCCTCTTCCCACTAGCCCCACTCTGCCAAGTGTGACGTCCTGCCCCAGAGGTTGGCCCGTCCTGATAACATATTCAAAGTACATGAGAAAAAGCCCTGGCATCCTTGTTTCTAAAGAACATATGGCAAGACAGACTGAAGTAGCTCATGTTGTTGTTGTTGTTGTTGTCGGGTGCAGTCAAGTCAAGTGCAATTCACAGCAACTCTATGAACTGTTCCTACAGTTGGGAGAAATGCCTCCAAGCCAATCCCAGATAATGACTGAAGCTTCTAAGTCCCCATCGCATCTTAGCCCCATTTTTAAGAAGTAGGTTTTTCTCACTTCAAACCCAACTTCTCACTGGCTATATTCATCTGAAAGTAGCCAGAGAGAGTCACGTCCCTGTTTCTCATGATTGAGAACCCCACAAATCAAAGAAGGGATGATTGCAATTGATAATAAAGTAACAGAAAACTAACATCTTCCATATCTTTGGTACTAGGAGTCTCATTTGTGACTAGTGGATACAAAGACAGCCCTGTACCAGTGTAAGAGTAACATTGTTACTTTGTCTTAGTCCAGCAGATTCAACCAACTAAAATCTTAATCTCCTTTCCCAGCCATTCCTTATCTATGGCTGGGAGTCACTCTCCTCAGGCCATACCCTGCGAACAGCACAACTGTAGTTATCATATTGATAAGACCAGAACATCCAGGCCCGGACAAGGACAGAGACGAGAACTTCTCAGAACAGAAGATACTACAGGTTTTTCTCACACTCTACTGTCCTTCCCACCACTATGCAAACCCCAGAGCCTCTAAGACAGCAAGACATATTGAGGGAGCTTATGTTCCTTGTCTCCTGTATAATGGTGTTGTGTTTTATCGTTGAGCTGGAAATGACATCTAGCTGACCCTCCAGCGAGCTTTCAGAGGTAGTAAACCATACAAGAGGAGATACATTAAAACTATTTCTGTTCAGAAAATTCTTACTGCTGGAGAAATAAGCAACATCATGATATGTGGAGAAAAGCTTGAAGCTGTCAACAATTTCATTTTATTTGGATCCATAATCAACATCCTTGGTAGCAGCAGCCGAGAAATCTAGTCTGTCACCCTGGGAAGATCTTCTCTCAAGGAGCTACACAAAGTGCTAAAGAGTAAAGATGTCACTTTAAAGACTAAGGTACGCCTATCTCACATACTCTGGGCACATGCCTAGGAGAGACTTGTCCCTAAAGAAGGACAACGTGATCTGAAGGGTGGAGGGACAGTGCAGGAAAGGAATACCCAGGATGAGATGGATTGACTCAGTGACTGGAGAAATGGGATTAGGTCTGTCAGAGACAATGAAATTGGCTCAGGTTAGGACAGGGTTTAGAGCTATCATTTATAGGGTCGCTCTGAGTCACAGGTGATTCAACGGAACATAACAACAACAATGGAAGCTTTGCTATTTTCAGTTGGTTCTAATGCATCTGAAAATTGGACAACTGATAAAGATGACAGAAGAAGAAGTGATGTCTTTGACTTGTGGTACCGGAGAAAAATACTGACTATCCCGTGGACTGCCAAAGAAAAACGAAATCTCTCTTAAAGGAAGTGTAACCAGAGCTCCTTAGAGGTAAGGAGGGTGAAACTTACCTCACTCACGCCGGGCATATTTTCAGGAGGAACTAGTCCTTACAGAGAGACATTGTGCTGGGCAAGGTGGAGGGTCAGGGGAAGAGGGAAGACCGTCCCCAAGACGGATGGACAGGTCACAGTGCTGCAGCACATCAGCGATGGCAAGGCCGGTGCGGGATAGGGCGCACATCAGGTCTGCTGGTCACGGGGACTGTGTGTCATAGCTGATGGTGCCTAATAACAGCAATATTAAAACTTGCAGCTCTTCAACTCCAACCTGGATCTCCAGGATTGGTTTTTCTGGGAACAGGTGGCAGAACTGCGGTTTTCCAGTAACAAGTCTCCCTCCAGTCCTGATGCCACATTCTTCATCCTAAAGTCCCGTTTCTCCAATGATTCGCTCAGCATACACACTGAATGGGTATGGTGAGGGATACAACCCCGATGCACGACTTCCCTGATTTTAAACCAGGCCTTGTTCCCTTATTGTGTCCCAATGAGTGTTCCCAATACTCTCAATGTCATCAATAATGTATTATGATCCACACAATCGAATGCCTTTGCACAGTCAGTAAAACACAAACATTTCACTGAGAGTCACCATCAAACCAACAGGAGTCACAGCCGCATCAAGTTCATTCATATTTATGAAGGACACAATTCAATCGATGATAAGCTACCACACTGGCCTGGAGCCCATGCCCCGAGTGGTCAGTCACTTCTTCTGAACCTGACTCGCCACAGTCAGCTGGCGCACAGCCCACCTCAGCCCTTCTCTTTCTCTCCTCCTGCAGGACCCTGACTCACTGTGAGAGTGTGACCCACCACTTCACAGTCAGGGCTTTAGAGCCAAGCGTCCAGACAGCCAGGGTTCAAATCCCAGCTTGACTGCTTCCAGCCTATGCTGAGTCCCCACCATGGCAGGTCTGAGCCTCATGTCCCGTGAGAAGTCTCCGGGCAAGGCGCCCCCTGAACAACGTCTAGAACTTGGATTTCGGGAAAGCACCCATCCTCAGGTTCCTGACTGCAACAGTTTGTGCTCAGCATGCTAAGCTGAAGGTTGGTGGTTCAAACACACCAAGAAGTACAGCAGGAGGAAGGCTTAGCAGTTTGCTACACAATAACTAACACGAATCAGGTCTATATGGAAGGCGGTATGGTGCTTTCTCAAAATGTTGCAAATAGAAATACTATTTGACCCAGCAATTCCACTACTGGGAATATACCCCAAAGAGACCATAACTGACACCCAAGCAGATACATGCACACCCATGTTTATCACAGCTCTGTTCACAATAGCAAGGAGTTGGAAACAACCTAAGTGCCCATCAACAAATGAATGGATAGAGAAGCTGTGGTATATTCACACAATGGAATACTATGCTGCATTGAAAAACAAGGAACGCATAAAACATACAAAACAGGTAACCCTGGAGAACATTATGCTGAGTGAAGTATCTCAGTCACAAAAGGAGAAATGCTGCATAGTGCCACTGTTGTAGAACAGGACTGACATCGGGGTTGGAGGGAGACTGAGAAAGATGGGTTCAATAATGTATACTGCATTGAAACAGATGAGGGAGAGAACTGTTTAAAAGGGATATGTGAATGGGTATTATAGTCATGACAGGAGTCCAGAATGAAGGCTGCACAGTGGGGTGGACTTGAGGGGAGGGATTGCATAACAATGAAAGAATTTTTCTTTTACTTTTCAAAGAGAAGAGTGACTTGCAGGGAGAGGGTGGACAGGGAGAAAAGTGCAACAAAGAATGAATGGAAATCCAAAGTCTCTGTAAACTTTCATTAAAATTAATTTTTAAAAAAGTCAGGTCGAGAACGTGGATAACAACAGCACCAAGGAGGAACACAGTCACCCTTACTGTCAATCATTGCTGCCGGGTGCCAGAGCCTGTGAACAACCGCATGCGCCTGCCCCATCCTGCACCAGCCTCCTGCACTGCACTGTGCCAACTCACCTCATCGAGGGGCTTCCTCTCTTCACTGACCCTCTCCCTCCCATTCCCAGCGTGATGTCCCAGGGACGGCCCGTCCTGACAACACACCCAGAGCATGGGCCATGAAATCTCACCCGCCTTGCCTCTAAAGAGCACCCTGGCTGGACCTCGTCAAGACAGCTTTGTCTGTTCCCTCGGCAGTGCATGGGCTATTCAGGGCCCCCTGCAAGTATCATACCCTGGAGGAAAGGTCTGGCAATCCACTTTCTAAACATCAGCCACAGTAAGCATAACAGAGGGTGGAGCCTGAGCCTGGCCAGACCTGACCCAGTGACGAGACATCACCATCGGGATTACCAAATGATCGACCAACAGCTGTCACTCGTTTCATCCTGATATATGGCAACCCAACAAATGTCAGAGTAGATTGGCAGGTGCTTCAAGACAGACTTGAACTTCTGACTTTTTAGTTAACAGCCAAGCATGTTAATGGTTTACACAGAGGATGGTAGCCACACGCCCTTGTGTGGGAACTAAACACAGCCTGAAATCCAGTCACATTTCTCTGTGGAGCCAGGACAGGCAAGACACCCCCACAGCGAGGACACAACAGACAGATGTGCACAAAGCTGGGGGTGCAAGCTCTTACCGTGACCTCTTCTTCCGCTGTGACGGTGAGGAGGGCTCTCAGCCGTGTCCTGTTCTGGAGACGAGGAAAGGGCACGCTTACTCAGCAGTGGTGACAGTCATGGGGACAGCAGCTCTTACCAGGTGACATTTCCAACTGTCCCTCCTGGAGCTGCAGCAGACCCTCAAGAACTAGCGATCTCGGAGCCCTTGGAGGGGGAGAGATTTGTGGAATCACACCCTCCCTCTCTACTAAAGGCATCTCTGGGGTTACACACCAGTGTTCCCAACAGCGTAAAAAGCCCCTGGAAGCCTGATTATAGGGCCAGGGCCATGAAGGATGCAGACACAGACCTGGTGCCAATATCTCACTAGCACCGTGAGCTGCAGCAACAGCCCAACAGTGGGAGGGGAACATACCTGTGGCGAACTCTGAAACGTGAGCTGGGCTGGCAACAGCAGGGGCTCCTGGGCCTGGACTCCTCCGGCCACCAGCGAGGCTGTGTAGCTAACCGCAAAGGTGTCTCCGGCTGCAAAGAGGGGGCGCATGAGTCAGGGGGCCTGCCAAACCCAGACACCCACCACGCAGAGACCCAGCCACATGCCAGCCTCAAAGGGGCGGCTTCCCCTGCCCAGGTTTGCATCAAAGGGGCTTTTCAACCCTCACAGCAGCATGGAGAAACTGAGAGGGGGGCAGGGAAAGCAGAAAGGACTCAGCTCATGGGCTCCCCTCTCCTAAGAGGGGGGTGTCAGGTCCCAGGAGCACCCCTCCACACTGTGTCTAACCTCCACATTGCCTGGGATGGGGTTTGTGATGCATTATATCCCTTAAAATATATTGGAATTGTAACTCCAACACCTGCTAATGGAACCCCATTGGGAATTGAATTTTCATTCGGGAAGATGAGTGAAACAGCTGGACTCTACAAAGGTGTGTTTTCTGTTTTAGCTGCAGCTCTCAGACCTGGTTTTGATTGTTTTCAGTCAAACATTCTTCTAAGTGGTATAGAACTGGTCTGTCTATTTGCTGTACAGAGGTAACTTGTGGTTGCTGTGATGGTAAACACTGTGACACTGATGTGTCAAATACAATAATGGTTATCCATTATTATGGTGGACAGTGTTTGATGGAGCTCTCAAAATAAAACAAGCTTGGAACCAGGAGTGGTATCCACTTCCAAAATAGCTTGTCTCCAGAAATTCTATGAACTTAGAGAGGCAATGAAAGCTATGGGTGTTCAGGACTTTTGTTCATAGAGTCGCTATGAGTTGTCTACAACTCAATGGCACTTAACAACACAATATTAATACAGAAGCCCTAATGGCATAGACGTTAAGTATCAGGCTGCTACCCAGAAAGTCTACAGTTCAATACCATTCCTGGGTAAAGACCAGTCTTCTCTAGTAAGATTTATAGCCTTGGAAACTCAATGGGGGACGGGGGTGTCCCCATGAGTCAGAGCCAAAATGAGGAAATCCATGGCTGAGGGTTTGGTTCTGTTTGGGGTTTATGTTCACAAAGCCACATATACATTAGGTGTGTCTCCAGCTCAGTGACATCTGAGACAGAAAAGGAGCAAGTCAGGGGGAGGTGACACTTGCACCAGGAGCTAACACCTACACTGGGAGATGATGCCAGCACTGGAAACAATGCGCTGGAAGTGAGCAGGACCACTGGAATTTGAGTGAGGTACTTTGTTGGAATCACTGCTGTTTGGCTGGACCAAATGGGACCCCTTAAACTCAAGCAGAACGGAGTGAAACAGTTGGAGCTCTAGTGAGGCAGTAGACGCAGTTCTAAAAGGGAAAACCAAGGCTTCCTGGTTTTCTATTCAGGTCTCTGCACAAGCATGTCCTGCATGTGTCTCCATGCACCACCTTATATCCCCTCAGATCCAGTCAATTAAGTGTCTTTAGCCCAGAGCACCTTGAACTGGCCTACCTGCAGCAGCTGTCTGATAGAAGAGGCTGCCAATTCATAGTCTTTTTCTCTCCTGAACTGAAGCAAATCTCCCCTTGAGTCATATGTTCAGATAAAAACCCAGGCAGGATAGCTGTCTCACCCTCTTCTGGAGCAGTGACATCAGATCTAGAACCTGCTATTGCCTCAGGCATGAAAAACTCTACCACAGCAAAGTTACATAAGAAGCAGGATGCCTCACACCCTACACAAGCCAAAAGGAAGATGTCACCCCAAAAAGTGACACAGTACCAATGGATTTCCTGAAGCAAGAAAGTCTGATGGAACTTTCTCACAAAGAATTTAGAAGGTCAATGACTATTTTTAATGGGTGAAAGAAAAACTTAAAGAATTACAGGACACTGCAAGGAAAAAAAAAACCAAGAGGAGCTTAAAAAAATCTAAAACCATGCAAATAAACAAATGAGGCACTAGCAGCTCTGGCAAAACAAGAAATCATGATCCAAAATATGAAGTCCATGTTAAGAGATGCTGTCAACATGATATACAGTGATACATGAACTGTGCTGAAGAGATGGAACACAAAACCAGTGAAACAGAAGATAGACTTGTCACCACTGATCTACTAGAACAAAAAGCAGAATTAAAAAGGAAGTAAAAAGATGAAACCTAAGAATAACGTGGACACCATCAAGAAAAATAACATGTGCATAATGAGAATCCCAGAAAAGGAAGAAGTAAAAAAGTTGTGGAAGAATTACTAGAAGAAAAATTCCCAGGCATAATGAAGAATGAGAGAATATATATATTTAAGAAGCTGAGCAAACACCATATAGACTAGACCTCAATAGAAAACATCAAGGCATATCATAGTCAAATTTGCCAGAACCAAAGATAAGGAGAGAATTCTGAAAGCAGTAAGGGAGAAACAAAGAATAACCTATAAGGGATGACAGATAAGATTAAATGCCAATTTCTCAGCAGAAACCATGGGAGCAAGAAGTCAGTGGAATGACCTATATCAAACACTCAAAGAACACAATGGTCAACCAAGAATATTTCACCCAGCAAAATTGTCCATCAAATACAAAGAAGAGGTCAAAATATTCTCAGCAAAATAGAACCTAGGGAAATTTGTAAAAAAAAAAAGCATTGCAGGAAATACTGAGAGATGGTCTTATCACAGAGGTGCCACAGAAAGCAAGATGGACCAAAGTAACAAGCAACACCACCAAAAACAATTCAACAAAATGATAGCAATAAAATCTTGCCTCTCAATAATCACACTGAGTGTGAATGGCTTGAATTCACCACCAAAGAGAAAAAAAAATTAAAAATCTACCAATATACTCTCTACAAGAGACACATGTTAAAAGTGAAGATAAAGAAAGACTAAAAATAAGAGTAGGAAAAAAATATAACAAGCAAATGGCAACCAAAAAAAAAAGGCAGGAATAGCTATATTAATCTCTGATAAAATAGATTTCAATGTAAAAACCATCACAAAGGACAAGGAAGGTCACTAAATAATGATCAAAAGGTCAACAGAACAAGAGGACATAACAATAATAAATATCTACGCACCAAATGATACAGCTGCAATATCTATAAAACAAACATTAACAAAACTGAAAAAGGAAATAGACAACATCACTATAGTAGTTGGAAACCTCAATATATCACTCTAAAGAACTACTAGTTAGAAACTACCAGGAAGAAACTCAACAAAGATGCTGAAAGAAATAAACTACACAGTAAAACAACTCAATCTCATAGATCTTTATAGGCTAATGCAATCAAAAAAAGCACAGTATACCTTCTTCTCCAATGTGCATGGAACATTCTCGAGAATAGATCACATTTTAGGTCACAGGCAAGTATCAATAACTTTTAAAAAACATAGAAATAATACAACGCATCTTCTCAGACCACAATACTACAAAATTAGAAATTAATAACAAGTGTATAAAGGAGAAAAAAACCCAAACATTTGGAAGTTGAACAACACCTTGCTTGATTGTGAATGGATACTAAAAAAAATTAAAAAATTAAATTAATAAGTTTCTTGAAACAAATGACAGTGAAAACACAAATTATCAAAACCTCTGGGAAACAACCAAAGTAGTAATCAGAGGTGAATTTATAGCAATAAGCAAACACATCAAAAGGTAGGAAAAAAATTACTATTGACTCTAACTCAATATCTCCAACAAATTGAAAAATAACAGCAAGAAAACCCAACATCTTCTAAAAACCCAAAATTACAAAAATTAAGGCAGAAATTAACAAAATAGAAAACAGAAAAACTGAAACCATCAACAAAACCAGGAGTTGGTTCTTCAATAAGGTCAAAAAAATTGATAAACCACTAGCAAAACTAACAAAGGAAAAGATGCAAATAATCTGAATAAGAGATGAAACAGGCAACATCACAACAGAACCAAATAAAATAAAAAGGCTAACCATGAAATACTATGGAAAAATTATACTCAAATAAATATAAAAACCTAGAGGTAATGGAAAAATACTTAAAAATGCAACCTACCTAAACTGACACAAACTGAAATTGAACACCTGAACAGACTCATTACAAAAGAAGAAATTAAAAAGGTAATAAAACAACTTCTAGCCAAAAAAAAAGCCCTGGACCAGATGGATTTACAAGTGAATTTTATCAAACATTCAGAGAAGAACTGTCACCAATTCTACATAAACTATTTAAGAAAACAGAAAAAATGGAATTCTCCCAGACTCATTCTATGAAGCAAACATATATATCCTTGATACCAAAGCCATGTAAAGACACCACCAAAATAGAAAACTACAGGCCAGTATCTCTCATGAACATAGATTCAAAACCCTGAATAAAATCCTGGCCAATAGAATCCAACAATACATCAAAAATATAATTCACCATGACTAAGTGAGATTCATAACAGGTATGCAAGGATGGTTCAACATAAGAAAAATAATCAGTGTAATTCACCACATTAACAAAGCAAAGAACAAGAACCACATGATCTTATCGACTGATGCAGAAAACGACTTTGACAAAATCCAACACCCTTTCCTAATTAAACCACTCAACAAAATAGGATTAGTGGGGAATTTCCCCAACACAGTAAAAAGTATATATGCAAACTCAAGAGCCAACATTGTTCTCGATGGAGAGAGATGGAACGTAATCCCTTTGAGAATAGGAACTAGGAAAGGATGTCTGCTATCACCTCTCCTGCTCAATACTGTATTGAAAGTCTTAGTGATAGCAATAAGGCAAGAGAAGGAAATAAGAGGTATCCAAATTGGCAAAGAGGAGATAAAATTATCTCCATATGCAGATTATATGATAGTATACTTAGAAAACCCTAAAGATTCAGCAAAAAAACTACTGGACATAATTGACCAATTCAGTAAAGTGGCAGGATACAAGAGCAACGTACAAAAATCAACTGGATTTCTCTACAGTGACAGAGAATATAGGACTAGAGCTAAGAAAAACAATACCCATCACAATAGCTAAGCACAAGATTAAATATTTGGGAGTAAATCTAACTAAAAACATGAAGAATCGATTCAAAGAAAATTACGAAACATTACTACAAGAAACAAAAAGAGACCTGGAGAAATGGAAGACTATCCCTTGCTCATGGATAGGAAGACTCAATATTATGAAAATGACAATACTAACAAAGGAAATTTACATATTCAGCGTAATCCCAACACAAATACCAATTCCATTCTTCAATGAGATGGAAAAGGCAATCTCCAATTTCATTTAGAATGGGAAGAGACCCCAAATAAGCAAAGCACTCTTTAAAAAGAGAAACAACGTAGGAGGCATCTCACTCCCTGATTTTAAATCCTACTACACTATGTGGCAGTCAAGACAGCCTGGTACTGGTACAATGACAAACACGTAGATAAATGGAATAAAATTAAGAACCCAGAAATCAGCCCATCTACTTATCGTCAACTGAGTTTTGACAAGGAGATGAAACCACTTAAGTGGGGAAATGACAGCCTTTTTAACAAATAGTGTTGGCAAAATTGGAAAACTATTTGCAGAAAACTCAACCAAGACTGACACCTCACTCCATACACAAAAACTAACTCAAAGTTGATCAAGGACCTAGGACTAAGACCAAGGACTATAAACTTCATCAGAGAAAAGCTTGGAAGAACTCTAGAAGCCCTAATCCAAACATGAGGTGTCTTCCAAGCATCTTGGAAAACCTACAACCAGGAGAGGATAAAATAGATGAACAGGACCTTCTAAGAATCAAATCCCGGTGCACATCAAAAAACTTCTCCGAAAAGGTAAAAAGGAAAGCCACATATTAGGAAAGAATGTTTGGTAATGACATGTCTGATAAGGGACTTATATCTAGAATTTATAGAATACTCAAGCACCACAACAAGATAAAGGTAAACAACACAGTTTCAAATGGGCACAGGATATGAACAGACACTTCACCAAAGAAGTAAATCAGATGGCGAACAAGCACATGAAGAAATGTTCAAAATTCCTAGCTCTAAGGGAGATGCAAATCAAAACAACTATGAGATATCATCTCACCCCAGTAAGAATAGCAAAATTTAACAGAGCAACAAAAAACAAATGCTGGTGAGGTTATGGAGAAACTGGAACCCTTATTCACCGAGTGGGAGTGTAAATTGGTGCAACCACTATAGAAGGCAGTATGGCACTTTCTCAAATAGTTGGAAATAGAAATAAATACCTTTTGATCCAGCAATTCCACTACTGGGAATATACCCTAAAGAAACCATAACTGCCACCCAAGCAAATATATGCACCCCCATGTTTATTGCTGCGTTATTCACAATAGCAAAGGGATGAAAACAACCCAAGTGCTCATCAGCAAACAAATGGATAGAGAAGCTGTGATATATTCACATGGTGGAATACTATACAGCACTGAAAAACAAGGAACTCATGAAATATACAAAATGAGTGATCCTGGAGGATGTTATGTTCAATATAATATCTCAGTCACAAAAGGACAAATACTGCAGAGCGCCACTGTTGTAGAACGGGACTGACATCAGCATCGGGGTGAGACTGAGAAAAATTGGATAAATCATGTATACTGCATTGAAACAGATGAGGGAGAGAACAGTTTAAAAGTGATATATGATTGGGTATTATGATTATGACAAGAATCCAGAATGAAGGTTGCATAGTGGAGTGTACTCGGGGAGGGGCAAGATTGTATACCAATGAAGGAATTTTTCTTTTACTTTTCAAAGAGAAGAGTGAACTGGGGGGAGGGGGGAGGGAGAAAAATTCAACAATGAATGAATGGAAATCTAAAATCTCTGTAAATGTTCATTAAAATTAATAAAATAAATTTTTTAAAAAACCAAAAGGACAAATACTGCTGTAAAACAGGACTAACATCGGGGTTGGGAGGAAACTAAGAGAAGAGGGAATAAATAATGAACACTGCATGGAAACAGATGAGGCAAAGAACTGCTTAAAAGGAATATATGATTAGATATTATATGTATGATAACAGTCCAGAATAAGAGCTGCATAGTAAAGTAGACTGGGATGGGGGTGGAGAATTGCATAACAATTAAAGAATTTTTTTTCAAAGAGAAGAGCGAACTGAGGGAGCAGGAAAGAAAATGTGCAACAATAAATGAATGGAAATCCAAGTTCTCTACAAACTTTTATTAAAATCTCAATTGAAAAAAAATAGAAGCAGGTCAGGTACAAAGAGAACAAATCCCACTGCCTGCTGTTAAGTTCATTCCAACCCAGCAAGCCTCTTCTGTGTTTCCCAGGCTGTGAGTCCACAGCCAGAGAACACGCATTTTCCTCCAGGAAAGTGCCTGCTGGACTCACACAGCCAGCCTTTCTGTTAGGAGCCCAAGACGCAGAGCACCATGCCTCCAAGAGAGCAAGGAAGAGTGCGGGGGAGACAGACTTCACGTGGAGATCACCAAGAACAAGGGGTGCTGGGCTCAGGAGGGTGGAATATTGGTGGCTGTTCCAACATCCCTGTGCATTGGATCAGATGCACCTTAGTACTCAAAGTGGTATCCTTGCTCTTTGGCACTTAATAGAGGTCCTTTCAGCAGATGTGCCAAATACAAGCATGGTATTTTCCATCACCTAGTACTCACCTGAGAACTGGATGATGAGGAAAACCAAAGAACTGATGCCTTTCAATTGTGGTATTGGAAAGGAATATGAGTGTAAGATGGCCTGCTGAAAGAACAGACCAACCCGTCTTGGAAGTACGTCCAGGGTGCTCTTTAGAAGAGAGGGCGGAGAACTTGACTCATTGATTCTGAACATGTTATCAAGAAGGCTAGTCAATGGAGGGTATCATGATTGCTAAAGCAGGTCAGTGAAAGAGAAGACCAAAGACCCAAGACAGAGATGGATGGACACTGTCTGTGCCAGGGGGCTTGACCACGGCAAACGGAGTTGGGGAGGATGCCAAAGGATCAGGCGGTGTTCCACTGTGTTGGACACGGGGCTGCTATGACTGAGGGCTGACTCTTGGTCCCCCGGCCCTTGGTGTGGGGCAACAGCGTGAGAGGGGGCCAAGGCAGGGGGTGAGGGCTGCCATGGGTTCCTGTGACCCATCCACCACAGCCCCCTGTCCTCTATGTCCTCGCCATCTCTGACACACTGGGGAAGGGCAGCTGCCTGGGAGACAGTTTTCTGGATCAAGCACTTTTCCTGAGTGAAGGGAGTGACCCAGCAAGCCTGCTCGGAAAACAGTGAGGAGCCTTACTCAGAAGCACCCTAAGATATGCTCACAGGTCCTGGGGACCCTCAGGAAAGAGAGGAACTTCAGCTGAGACCTGGGGGTGGGGAGGGGGCAGTGACATCTGCTTCCAAGTTCTGGATACGGAGAGAGGACACTCAGGGTCTCCTCCATGGACGGGACCTCACAAAGTTCTCATCCCATCCCCACCCTAAGTGCCTGTCACATCAAAGGGGCACTCGCCCACCAGCCAAAGATGGGTAGTGCAAGTACACCCACAAGTGCCACGAAGAAAGGCCTGGAAATCTCCTCCCGTAAAGACCGCAGCCCAGAAACCCCCAAGACAGTGTCATGCCATCACCAAGGGCCAACACCACCTGGTATCATTGTGACAGCGTCACATCATCACCAAGGTCAGGACCTGGAATCAATGTGATGGCAACAAGGTGGGTTTGGGTACCTTGTAGAAATGTCCTCCTGAAGGTCTGGACTCCCTCCAACGTCCTGTTTCCAGCGGAGTTCCTGACGACAAGGCCCGTGATGTTGTCCAGCACCACCAGGTCAGACAGGTTGGTGGTCGAGGGCGACCTGGTGGTGTTCACTGTCAGCCACACCTGGGCTGTGTGGGGGTCACTCTCGCCGGACACCTAAACAAAGGGAGCGTGGTCAGCCCCGATCTGCCGGCAGCCTGATGTCCCCTGTGGACATGGGGCCCATACTCGCAGGGAGGAAGGCAGGGAGGGAGGATGGGCAGCCTTTTCACCCTGACCACCACCCTGACCATTGCTGACCACCACCCGAAAGCCATGGTGTTCCACAGGCCCCAGGGGAATTCTGATCCTGGCCGCCACATCCCACCCCCCAGCAGCTCCCCAGGAGCAAGGGCAGCATGTCTGCTGTGAAGACCCCAAGCTTGGGAACTCTACAAGGCAGTTGTGCTCTGTCCTACAGGACAGAGGGCTGGACGGCAGTGGGTTTGCTCTCTCTGGCAATCTTTACAGAGTGCCTGTGCTGCTGACTCAGTGATATCTGCTGCTAACTAAAAGGTCAGTGGTTCAAATCCACCAGCCAAGACTGACAAGGCTGATTTTTGGTTTTGTTGTTGTTGTTGTTTTTCTTGTTGTGTACCGTCGAATCGGATCCAACTGACATAGAAGGTGACTGCTCCTTCCTCTCCAGTGGGGCATCTGGTGGATTCAAACCACGCACCATTGGGACTGTAGCACAGTTTCTTGTCACTAGGTCACCAGAGCTCCTGAGGCTGTTTTATTAATGAGTAGTGTTGTTGATGTTGTTGTTGTGTGTCATCGAGTCGAATACAACTCATAGCGACCCTCTGAACAACAGATCTGCCCCCTGTCCTATCCCATGCCATCCTCACCATCCTGACACACTTGAGCCCATTGCTGCATCAGCCCACCTGGTTGAGGGTCTTCTTCTCCTTCACTGTCACCCCACCTTTCCAAGCATGCTGTCCTTCTACAAGGAATCACCTCTCCAAGCAACATGTCCAAAGTAAGTGAGACTAACATCACTGTTCCTCAGTAATTCAGAGAAGCAATCGTTGTAAATGAACAGTTACCACCGTGGAAACCCTCTCCTCTGGGGCAGCTGGACTCCCACCTCTGGGGCCACTGTGAGGCACAACCAACCAGATGTTGGCAGGCCCTGGGGACACTCACCACGGCACACTTCTGAAAAGTGACTCCATCCTCAGGAGTACCATGGACCGCTCTGGAGATGTGGTCATGCTACAAAAAAAAGGCAAGAGTTACTGGAAAACAAAAATTACTTCATGTCCCATAGAATTAATAAAAGCCCAGTATAACAAGTGTTTCAATTAATAAAATATAATTATAGAAAAAAAAAACACAAGTGTTTCAAAAGGAGTCAGAGAATGAGAACTGAGGCACAGACAGAGACTTGTACACCAATGTTCACAGTAGCATGATTCGCCATCTCAAGAACATAGAAACAGCCCAGATGTCCAACCACAAACGAATGGATTGAGAAATTATGACACATTCACACAATGGAATACAACACTGCACACCGGATCTATGATTTCATAAATTATTACCTAACTTGGGAGGGACTGGAGAACATTATGCTGAGTAAACTAACTCAGTACCACAAGAAAAGATACTGTATAAAACCATTATTGTAGAATGAGTATAAGATCCAAGGGGGAGGGAGGGTAGAAGCAGAGGGGTGAGAATGTGTGGGGTGATTAATCATGGGGTCACACAATTTGATGGAGGGGGAGAGGGAAATGGGAAGGATCTGGTGTGAAAAACAATGTATTTGAGTTTTATAAATAAACTAGTATTTAAAGGGGGTGGGTCAGAGGTTTGCCTGTGCTGATTTGAAACTGCCTCACTATCAAAAATCTTGAAAAATCTTGAGTGTTTTTATAGGATTTTAAAAAGTGTTCACTTTAAAAGCATGTCCCAGGGCTCAGATGGGATCACATGTGTGAAGTGACATGCCTGGTGCCTGGCTCGAGGTAGAATTTACACAACGCTCGCCAGTGTTAGCTTCCGCATCAGTTTTTAACATCTGAGCTCTTGTTGGATGAGTGGTAAGAAGATGCACTACAATCCCAAAAGCACATAGTTCAAATCCACCAGCTACTCTGCAGTATCCTCCCATGACAGGCTTGGAAATTCTACTCTGCTGTTGTTATGCCATCAAGTTGGAACCAATTCGCAGTTGACCCTCCAGCAGGTGTTCAGAGGCAGTAAACTGCACAGGAGGAGACTGCCCATCTTTCTCCCACAGAGAAGCTTCTGGATTCGAAGTGCATGCCTTTTGGATTGCTACATGGCTTCTTATTACTAGGCCACCAGAGCTCCCAGAAATCTTATAAGCAGTTCTAATTCTTCTCTGTCTTACAGTCTCTGGGAGCCAGAAGTGACTCACCTTGCCGCAGTGGGTTTCTCTGGGTACCTGCACACTTTGGGGTTATCATCAGCTGGGACCAGTCCCCGGAGAAAGGTGTCCTGCTCGGAAAAGGAAGGGGTCAGTAAAGGAGACCCTCACTGAGATGGAGCTGAGCATGGGCTCAGGCCCAGCTGAGGATAAGGGCAGCCGACTTAGCAGGACCTACCAAGAAAACAATCTGCTAACCACAATGTCAGTGGTTCAAATCTATTAGCTGCTCTTTGGGACAAAGATGAGGCAGTTTGTTCCCATAAAAATTTACAGCCTTTAAAAAAAATTATTCTCTTCTGTGTGTGTACCATCAAATAGGATCTGACTGGTACAGGAGGAAATTCCCCCTCCTTCTCCAGCAGAGCACCTGGTGGATTCAAACCGCACACCTCTGGGATTGCAGTGCAACTTCTTGCCACTAGGCCATCAGAGCTCCCTAAGATTTACAGCCTTTACAACTCAGTGGAAGTTGTCATAAATTGGAATTAGCTGTGACAGTTTGATTTTGGTTAAAATGCACTATATACAATGTATATGGTACATTATAGTACTTGTATCTAGTAATTTCACTGTAGGGAGTTCTGGTAACAACCCATAGGGAGTTACACTTCTAACCCAGAGGTGTTTCTTCTGACAGCTCCACAGGCATCCACGGCAATGAGTTAGTTATATTAGATACAATGTTGCACTGCAAAATAGGCTGAAGTTACAATTCTCAGCCAATTCCCAAAACAGACAAAGCTCGAATTAATAATTTCTTGATAATAAAAGCAAGATTGTTGTTAATACTACTTATCTTGACGTCAGACCTGACCTTGAAGCAGATTTTGAGAGGCAGGAAATTACAGAGGAAAAAAGGACCCATCTTTGTCCCACGGAGCAGCTGGTAGATTGAAACTGCAAACCTTTGTATTAGCAGCACAATACCTTACCACTTAGCCACCAGAGCTCCCTCCTGGATTCATATAGAAGACCTACTTATGGCAAAGTCTCTCATACTCTGGACATAGTGCCAGGAGGGATCAGGTCCTGAGAAGGACATCATGCTTGGAAGGGTGGAGGTTCTGCACAGGAGAGGAAGACCCAGATGAGATGGATTGACACAGTGACTGTAGGTACAGCCGTGTCAGAGACAGGGAGGTTGGCTCAGGATAGGGCGAGCAGTTGTTCATAGGTCGCTGTGGGTCATAGTTGACTCGACGGCACATAACAGTAAGAACTGGGAAAATCAGAAAGGCCTGAGTTCAAATCCTTGGTCCACAACTTGCTAACGCAGTGAGCTTGGGCAAGCCTCCAACTTCCGAATCCCAAGAACCTGCAAGATGGAAATAAAGGAGAACTAATCTCCAGGTGGAACCATCCACTCGCTGGGTCAGGCTCAGACTCAAGGCCTTTTCCAGGCCCTTCAGTCCTGTTATAGATGGACCTTCTGTTGGCATCTTAATCCTATTGCAGTTGGAAGCTGGAATTAGAGAATTCCATTTAATAAGGTCTTCTTTGCTATACTAATGAGACCATACCAGTATAAGGTATTGTGGGTTTTTTTGGTGTGTGTTTCTTATTTTTTTAATAAGGTATGTTTTAAGCTAATCACCTTAGAGAAAGACAAAGAACAATTTGTCACAGACAGGAGAAGACAGAAGCCACACACGGATCACCCAGGAGCTGAGGGGAGAAAGCTGACCAGGAGCCAGGCCCTGTGGGCCGACTCCAGACTTCTCACCTCAGAACCAGGAATGATGATGGTGCGAAGGCTATTTGGTCATTGACTAAAAGGCCGGTGGTTCAAACCCACTGCACCTCAATTGCCAAGCAATGGCTGGGATGGCAATGAACTAGGGGAGGGTTAGCATGAGTTCATTCTGAGGAAAGTCAGTGGGACCTGCTGAGGGCCAAGGGACATCTACAGTGACAACCGGGTAACATCATGAGAAGTGGAGAAAAGATTCACATTGTCAACCATTTCCTCTTACTTGGATCCCCTATCAGCCCCCTTGGGGCCAGAAGTCAGGAGATCAGGAGGCATACTGAACTTGGGAAAGCTGCTGTCTGAAACCTCTCCAAAGTACTTAGGAGCAATGATGTCACTTTGAGGACTACGGTGTTCCTGGTTCAAGCTATGGTCTTTTTCAGTATCAGGCTATGCATCTGAGAGCTGAACAAGGGGACAAAAGAAGATGCCTTTGAGCTGTGATGTTGGAGAAGAATGCTGAATATCCCATGCACCACCAAAAGAACAAACAGGTATGTCTTGGGAAAAGGGCAGCCAGAGTGTTCCTCGGAGACAAGAATGATGAAGTTTCGTCTCAGATACTTTGAGCACATTGTTAGGAGAGTCTTCTTTGGAAAGAGACATCATGGTTGGAAAGGTGGAGGGTCAGTGAAAGAGAAGATCATCAACAAGACGGAGTGACACAGTGACTGCAGCAGTGGGCTGATGTGTCAGAGACGGTGAGGGTTCAGGTCTTTTGTTCACAGGGTCACCATGAGTCATACTTGGCTCGATGGCATCCAACAACAACAAGATGTTTCAGGACCAGGTGACGTTTTGATTTACTGTACACAGGGGCGCTGAATCGGAGTCGAATCAACACCACCTCACAATGAGAAGCTGGGGACACAGAGGGAGGTCAGGGTGAAGTGAGAGTCAGTGACATCCGTCCACACGGAGGGAGGAAGTACAGCACTTGAAACACCCAGACAAGAGGCTCAGCTCTTTCAACCAGCCTCACGCAACCCAAAGGGTGGCAGTTCTAACTCACCCAGAGGTGTTGGGAGGAACACCCAGAGGCAATTAGACTCTAGAAAGCCACAGCCTTGGAAGGTTCCTTAGAGATGAGGGGCACCCTAGGGACACAGGGATGCCCTAAGAACAGGGATTATCCTACAGACAGGGGGTACCCTAGGGACAGGGGGTATCCTAGGGACAGGGGGTACCCTAGGGACAGCGGGTACCCTACAGATGGGGGATACCTTAGGGACAGGGAACACCCTAGGAACAGGGATTACCCTAGATAGGGGGGTACCCTAGGGACAGGGAGTACCCTAGGGACAGCAGGATACCCTAGGGACAGGGGGATACCCTAAGGACAGTGGGATACCCTAGGGGCAGGGGATACCCTAGGGACAGTGGGGTACCCTAGGGACAGGATATACCCTAGGGACAGGGGGATACCAGAGGGACACAGGGTACCCAGGATATGACAGGGGGTAATCCTAGGGACAGGGGTGTACCCTAGAGACAGGGGGTAACCTAGGGACAGGGGTCCCCTAGGGACAGCGGGTACCCTAGGGACAAGAGGATACCCTAGGGATGGGGGTACCCTAGGAACAGGGAGATACCGTAGGACCAGGGGGTACCCTAGGGTTCAGCTCGGTGTCCGGGTACCCAGCAGGCAGGGAAGCGGGGCCTGACTCTGCTTACTTCCTAAGGTGGAGGGAGCAAGTCCACAATTTGGTCATCTCTTTCAGGATGCTGCTTCAGGTGTGTCTGCCACCTCCCAGGCCCCCGCCCACCGCTCCTTCCCACAGAATCTGTCTTTTTCAAGTCTATGGTCTCCTCGGGGACCAGGTACTGAGGGAGCCAGGTAAGTTAGCCAGGTAAGTTTCGCTCACCCACTGCACCGTAAGAGATGGTCCATCACAGAAAAGCGGGTCGCACCACGAGAAGGCCTTGCCCGCTTGCTCTGCCCGCAACCCCGGGCCCACCTGAGTCGGAATCCGCCCCACGAGAGCCTGACCACGGGGCACCACTCACAGCAGCGTGGCGGGTCTCTCCCTTGTGGATAGTGCCAGGGACAGAGGCGGGGGACAGGGCAGAGCTGGGACAGAGCAGGGGACAGGGCAGAGCCGAGGGACAGGGCAGAGCAGGGGACAGGGCAGAGCTGGGACAGAGCAGAGCAGGGGACAGGGCAGAGCTGGGACAGGGTAGAGCCGGGGGACAGGGCAGAGCTGAGACAAGGCAGAGCCGGGCGCTTGGCAGGACGACCTGGGCGGTCCAGGGCTGAGGCCACCGCGCCCGCTGCGCTCCACTTCTCAAAGTTTAGTGGCCCCGGAGGGACACTCCACTCACTGGCTTCCAGGCAGACAGAGCCAGAGTCTCAGCTCAGCCCCAGCTGCCGCCCGCTGCCCGCAGTGCAGACGACCCGGCCGCCTGGCTCGAGTCTGGGATGGGGGTGCGCGCGGGTGGCCGGGGGCGACGCGGAGCCCTTACCTGCGCGCTCCGCCTAGACCTCGCTCCTTTCGGCGGCAGAGGGTCCCCCGGACCATCCAAGACTCCGGGAAGTGTGGAGGTCCCCGGGACTGGCAGCGCATCCGGGGGGTTCCAGGGGGGACCTGCGTCCACAAGTAGCGCCAGGGCTGCGAGCAGGAAGCCTCCTGCCAGCAGCCACCGGGCGCCCGCCAGGCCCATCGCCATCCGAACGTGGGACTCTCGAGAGGCGAGTGCTGTGGAGTAGAGGACGCTTCCGGACCCCGGGCCCGCCCCGCCGAGCATGCTCAGTGAGCCCGGCCGCCCAAAGTGTGCAGCGCGCGGACTTGGCATCTGCGCTCCCCGAGAGAGGGAGGGAGGGATGGAGGGAGCGGGGAGAAAAGGAGGTGAGCGGCAGCGAGGAGGCGAGACCTCCTGGCAGCCCCACTCGAGACCTGTTGTTATTGTTGTTGTTAAGTGTCATCAAGTTAGTATAACCCATAACCACAGAACTAAACTGTACCATCCTCGCCAACTGCAGTCACTGTGTCAGTCCATTTCATCGAGGGTCTTCTCTTTCGCTGACCCTCCAACTTTCCAAGCACGATGTCCCTTTCCAAGGAATAGCCTCTCCAAGCAACATGCCCCAAGTATGAGAGATTAATTTCTCCATCCTGATCTCCAAAGAGCACTCTGGCTGCACCCTCTCCAAGACATGTTTATTTGTTCTTTGGGCCGTCCGTGGGATAGTCAGCACTCTGATCCAACACCACAGCTCGGAGGCATCCATTCTTCCATCCTTATTCACTGTTCAGCTCTCAGAGGTTTAGCAAGTGATTGAAAAGACCATGGCCTGAGTCAGGTGCACCTTAGTCCTCAAAATGACATCATCACTACTCCTCAGTATTTTGGAGTCGTCACAAGTCAGACCAGGTCAGCCCCAAACCCTCCAGGATTCCAAACGCCCTTCTGGAGTCCCTACTGACTGCGGGGCTGGAGACTGGAGTCCATCCACAGGCACCTCGAGAGAAAGGCCTTGGCGAGCTTCTTCCAAAGCATCAGCCACGGAGAACTCTGTGGAGCGAAGTTCTGCTCTGACACATCAGTGGGGCCACCTTGATGGAACAACCCAAGGACAGCTTATTCAAGAAGTCTTCTGCTGACTCTGTTTGAAGTCTCGAAGTCTCAGCCCAGATTCACCTCCTCCAGGCAGCCTTCTCGGATACACACAACTGGGTCACAGCAGAGTCACCTCCTGCCTCATCAGCCCTGAGGGAGTTTGGAGAGACAGGGGCCTGTCTATGTCCTGACAAACCACTGGGGACAAGACAGAGAGGGCATTCTGAGAGCACCTAGCAGCTCAGGACTGGCTTTGCTGGCAAGGGGACGCAGAACGTGAACAAGCCCCCCCTTTTTCTAATTTTTTTTAATTTATTATTAATTTCAATGAAAATGTACAGAGACTTGGATTTCCATTCATTCACTGTTGCACTTTTCTCCCCTTCCAACCCACCCCCCTAGTACACTACCCTCTTGGAAAAGTAAAAGAAAAATTCTTTCATTGTTTTACAAACCCTCCCCCAGGTCCACTCCACTATGCAGCCTTCGTTCTGGACTCCTGTCATGACAACAATACTTAATCACATATCCCTCTTAAACAGTTTTCTCCCTCACCTGTTTCAACACAGTATACATTATTGAACCCCTCTTTCTCAGTCTCCCCTCAACCCCGGTGTCAGTCCTGTTTTACAACAGTGGCACCATGCAGTATTTGTCCTTTTGTGACTGAGATACTTCACTCAGCATAATGTCCTCCAGGGTCACCCATTTTGAATAATATTGCATGAGTTCCTTGTTTTTTTAATGCAGCATAGTATTCCATTGTGTGAATATACCACAGCTTCTCTATCCATTCATTTGTTGATGGGCACTTAGGTTGTTTCCAACTCCTTGCTATTGTGAACAAAGCCGCGATAAAACATGGGTGTCCATATATTTGGTTGGGTGTCAATTATGGTCTCTTTGGGGTATATTCCCAGTAGTGGAATTGCTGGGTCAAGTGGTATTTCTATTTGCAACTTTTTGAGAAAGCACCATACTGCCTTTCACAGTGGTTGCACCATTTTATACTCCCACCAACAGTGAATAAGGGTACCAGTTTCTCTGCAACCTCGCCAGCACTTCTTATTTGCTGTTCTGTTAAATTTTGCTATTCTTACTGGTGTGAGATGATATCTCATAGTTGTTTTGTTTTGCATCTCTGAGAGCGAGGGATTTTGAACATTTCTTCATGTGCTTGTTGGCCATCTGAATGTCTTCTTTGGTGAAGTGTCTGTTCATATCCTGTGCCCATTTTTTCAATTGTTGTGGTGCTCAAGTATTTTATAAATTCTAGATATAATTTCCTTATCTGACATGTCATTACCAAATATTTTTCCCCGTCTGTGGCTTCCCTTTTTACCTTGGTGGCGAAGTCTTTGGATGGGCATGAACAAGCCCCCTTCAAGGTTCAGTTCCCACAGAGCAGCATCTGCTGATCATTCCCCACCCTGTTCCTGAAGTGGCCCATTACACACACAGGTGCACATACACACCTACACACAGGTGCACATGTACACACATACAGAGGCATATATACAGATACACAAACAGGTGCACACACACACACACACACACACGGGCTGTGAGCCAAGCCAGCACACGATGCCCTGTCACACTGGCTAAGGGACTCCTGTCAGGTGGCATTGAGTGGGTCCCCATTCACGTGGACCCCATCTACAAAGAGCAGGGTACCACCCCGGTCCTTGCTGTGTCTAAGCCCATTGGGGCAGTCACTGTGTCAATCCTTTTCTTTGAGGGTCTTCCTCTTTTGGGACGACCCTCAACTTCACCAGCCATGACGTCTTTCTCCAGCCACGGGCCCCTCTTGGTAACAACACGGCCAAAGTTAGTCTTGAGACAGACCCTCACCACCTCGCTTCTAATGAGCATCTGGCTACACGTCTTCCAAGAAAGGAGTGTCCATCCTCTGGCCATGCCCTGTGTATCCACTCTTCCTCACCAACACATCACAGATGCCAGTTCTTCAGGCTTCTTTACTCACTGTCCACTTCTCATACGTGTGTGACTCAAAGCTCAAAATCACTGCTGTCAAATCAGAACTGACTCACAGCCAGCCCTCTGAGGGGCCTCCAAGTCTGTAACTCTCAGGAGAGGAGATGGCCCATCTCTCTCCTCCAGAGCCAGTGGTAGATTTGACCAACCAAAGAGGCATGGCCTTTGGGTTAGTGGCACAACTCCATACGAACTAGGCCGCAAACAGAAAATACAGCTTAGGTCAGGTGCACCTTAGTCCTTGTTGTGACACCCGTGCTCTTTAGCACTTTAAAGAAGTCATTTGCCGGTTGCTAGCAATGCAATATATCACTATGAATTAGTATCTAGAATATGTTAAAAATCTAACAATATTCAAACATAAAGTTTATTCATAGCCACTATTCTATACGCATATAGGAAGGCCAACGAATGCTAGTGGTGCGGTGGCTAAAATCATTTGGTCATTAACCAAGAAGTCGGTGATTTGAACCCACTGCCTATCTCTCCATGTAAAAAATCTCTCATATATAAAAGCAGGCTCTTCTGATCCTGTTGTTGCGTGCCATCAAGTAGGAACCAACTCATAGCTGACCCTCCAGTGGGTTTTCAGAGGCAGTAAATCACACGAAAGGAGATTGCCCAGCCTTCTCCCAAGGAGAAGCTGGTAGATTCGAACCCCGTGCATTCCAGTGTCAGCACAACTCCTTACCACAAAGGCCACCAGAGCTCACAAAGGCATCAGACAACGTAGGAAAAATGAAGTCCATGGAGAGAAGGGAAAGGACACATTTAGAAGATCAAGCATTGCATTGAAAAACAAGGAACTCATGCAATATTATTCAAAATGGGTGACCCTGGAGGACATTATGCTGAGTGAGGTATCTCA